ACCTCATCGACGAACGTCCAATCTGGTCTCGCGATTTCGTTATTTACATCAAACGATCCGCCGCGAATGACTCTGTTTAGCTCGCCGCTTCGCACATCGCTTCCTTTTTCTTCGTCCCGCGTCTTTCCTCCTACCTTTTTTTTTCCATCGTTTTCTTTTTTCCAATTGCTCGGGAACCTGTTCGCACGAGTGGCAGCAACGGAATGTCCCAAGTGCTGCTCGCTCTCATCTCAAGCCGATCGGGCGACTGTAATCGTTCTATACTGCGCAAAGATTTCGTTTAGTCCCAAGTATTTACCAAAGCATTAGTTTCAACGAGCTTTAGTTTCTTTTTCCAAATGTCATTACTAAAGTTAACATTGATAGTAAAATAGAAAGTGCAACTATATAAACGACAGTATTATTATAATAAATGATTAACTGTACAAAATGTTAATTGTATTACATATGCTAGAACAATAATTTTAAAATATTAACGATATTTGTACTATTAATATATACGTAATACATTTTGAGATTAAGCTGCATTATAATTATCTATGTAGACAAGCTGGAAATATGCTTGTATGAAATCCTCTTAAGGTCAGTTTAACGGATATAAGCTATGGATCCGCAAAGCGCAAAGCAAGTGGTTTTTGGATTTGTGAAACCAAACCGAATGTAAAAATATACGCAAGAGAATTATATTAATTAGAATAAATGGAAAAAGGAGGAAAGGAAGAAGAGAATTCTCTCTCACTCTCTCTCTCTCTCTCTCTCGTAAAAGATTCGCGGAGGTGGATGCCGAGAAAGATGCCGAGGAACGAAGGCTAACGACCTTGACCTTGTCCGTGATGTGTGAGATTGTGTGCGTTTGTGATCAGGAAAGAAAGAGAGAGAGAGAGAGTGAGGAGGGGGGAGAGAGAGGGAGAGAGAGAACGGAGGAGGAGAAAGAGTGAGAAATGCGAACGACACGAGAAGAGACATCGGTCAAAACCGATGGCCTGCTTTCTTGAACGTTTCTCGGTACGAAGGCGACGAGAATGAACGAATCTAGCACGAGATACGAGATATAGACGAGGCCCGATGACTAAGACGACAACAACGCCGGATGAACCTCGATGAGCCCTTGCATGTGGCAAAGTAACTACGCGTTGTGACACATCGTGCAGTGTGCACAGTGCACTGCTTGATTCTAGAATAGCAATCTAGAGGAGAGAAGGGAAAAAGAGCGAAGGCGGGGGGAGAGAGAGAGAGAGAGAGATCGTATTTGACACGGAGTGTCATACATATATATATTGTTTTGCGACAATATTTTCTAACAAGTGTGACAAGTTATTTTAAACTGAGGAACTCGGTAATACCCAGGAATGATCACGTTTATAAGACGTAAACAAGTTACACAGATCTGTTTACAACGTGATATTCTCTCAATACCAGTAATTCGAGCTCGCAGTATCCGATTTTACCGTTAATTTCAAATTCAATCGACGCAAATTTTCTTCGAGCAGACTTAAAGGCTTTCAACTTCGCGATTGGTTCCACTCGTAAATAAATCGGCCTTTATTCATGAGACATTACGAGACAACGCCGAGAATTGATTACTGAATCGCGTATAATAGGTCTCAAGGTTGTGCCTGGAGATTGAGCTTATTTTCGACAGAATCGCGATTACGGGCCATGTATCACGAGCACTTGATTGATTCTCCAAGAGCTATCTCGAAACTAGTTTCTCGACCGAATTCCTCAGCAGAAACGCAACTGTAAATACGAGCTTCAGTGTACTTTGATCAAACTTGCTCTTTGAGAGGAAATTGCACTGGGATATCATTAATCCATTTTAAATCGTAACATGTTTCTAATTTGTCTAAAATCTCTGTTATATAAGTACCATAAGGAAATCTTCAACTTTTGTCAGCTGCACATTTTTCATCATTACGACCATCGAAAGGTCACAATCTTTATTACGTATATTCTCTACTTAATTCGTGCCAATCCATTTTTTTCCGCTTTTATTAGCAGTCTTATAATTTTAGTTGACTATTATCATCCATTTAGATTATAGTTTATCGACTTGACAAATTTGTACGATAGGCAATATTTTTGTCCGAGTAGAAAATTATTCTTTACATTTTACTCACGTTTCCCATTATTCCCATCTCAACAATCAGAATTAATATATATATTTTCAATCGCTCCATCTCCTCGCGACACATCGGTTTACCCGTATAAGACATATTGTCCAGTTCGTCAATGAGACACACACCGGCGCGAGTCGTCGACCGGCGAGCTGCGCGGGGCGTCGCGGCGGCGGCGGCGGCGGAGGGATGCTGTCCGCACCGAGCCGCGTCGCGTCGCGAGGAAAAGAAGAGAAAATTGCACGGCAGGGCGGGCGAGGGGAGGGGGAGGGAGGGAAAAATCCAGCCCGCCGACTCCTGACCTCCAGGAGTAGGAGAGGAGTGAGCGAGGTTGTTCTGCGATCGATCGATAAACGCGCTCACGCTCCGCGTCCAAGGTGCGAAGGAACTCGGCGTATAGGAGAGCGAGAGAGGAAGAGAGAACGTGAGAAGGGGGAGAGAAAGGAATTGGTAGATGGAGAAAGAGAAAGACAGGATAGGGGGAGTGATCGCGCGGGGGCGCATGTGGAGAGGAGGGAGATTGAGAAGGAAACCGCCCCTGTCATCTGTGTGATAAATACGATTTTCCTCCGTGCATGCAAATGTTGCTAATGTATACAAATATTTTCCGTGAATTGATAAATACGTTTGTAATCATTGTTTCGACTTTAACGCGCACGCGATTTTAATCAACATTTGCATTTCAAAGATGGAATACAATAACCGAATTGTTATAGGTACTCGATAAACGTATAAATTTACAAATAAGCGTGCGCACTTTTACTGACAATGAGTCAATATTATTCCAATAAAAATATAGAATAATTATCATAGGCTGGGGTGAAATTCTGCGTTTTTCAATGTTCTTTTCTTACGTCTATTCCTAATCGGGACGAAATATTGTTTTTTAATCATCATTTCTGCGCCTTTCTCCTTTTGATCGAATTGCCTTTTTTTATCAGTGAAAAAAAAATAAACCGCGCAGAGGCTTTATTTTTGCGTTTACAGGGCTTCAACTCTCTGATTGAAAAAATAAAACAATTCAGTTAGAGAGTTTCTACTGGGGGTAGATGTACAAAATTTTTCCGAGAGCACCCCTGCAGAGACGGCGAAAGGATCGGAACAATCGATCCTTTCGGTCTGCGGAAAGAGAGCGCGAGAGCCAGCTTCTTCCTCTCGCTCTCCTCGTCCCTCATTCTGTGTCTCTCTGCCGGCTATGAATTCCGGAAACTCCCTGGAGAAGTAGACTTTCTACGTGGTCAAGCAAATTACACAAATGAATGCGCTACGGGGATTAAACAAACGCTGCTATGGATATTAAAATCGAGAATCAAATGAACCTTCGTTTGTGTTTGAGAAAATTGTCATTACGTCAGTCCGTACAGACTTCTTCGGACTTCTTGGAATAAAGTTTTCCGGAACGACTTCAGAACGTTCGGAAGACAAACATGGACATAATCGGGGATACAGAGGAACCTATTATATATTATAAATCATATGGTTCCTCAAATAAAAACAATTAGAAAAAATTACACAATTACGACTAAAAAGTATTCATAAAAAATGGATTATTGAAAGAAAGCTTTTTTGAGAACCCAAGACAGCTAGAGTGATATAAATTCAAGTTTTTCCACTTCAAAAAATCAGCATGTAATTTTAAGAAAATAATTAAGTCAATTAGTACATTAAATAAGGTGATTTACCTACTATAGCAATTAAAAATAATCTAAAACGAAACAAGTCCATTCGAATACTGATCCAGCCGACTCTCGAGTTTAAAAGGTCTCGATTCCAATTCGACTCCCCTTTCCCTAAACAAAATCTTAGCTACGCCCATGCATACGGATGTCCTCTGGACATTTTTAGAATGTCCTTTGAAGGCTGTACTACGTGGGAGAGTGTCTCAGGATTCCGAGCGAAAGATTCCGTCACGTGTATATATATATATATATATATATTCGCGGATATCTATTCTTTTCACGTTACGATTATATTATCAGACGTCATTGACTCGTACGTGATTCATTCGTTTTCAGGTTGGTAATGAGCATGTTTCTTTTTCACGCGAGCGAGTAGACGAAACACGCGGTTCGATCTCTTTACGTGGCTATAGTGAATGGATGAGCGAGGGTGATCGCAGGCGCCGTCGTCCAACCCTCTCTTCTCTCTCTCTCTCTCTCTCCCTCCGTCTCTTCTGTTCGTAGTTTCTTCTACGCGGCTTTCTTTACATTTTCACTTTACGAGTTTATTTCAGCCAGTGGATTCTTCGACCTTTAATTAGCAACGAGACGAGACGTGCCACCGTCCGCCTGGCACTCCACGCCGGACGATCGGGCAGTCATCGATCGTTGATATAGGTAATTTATATCATTTCTTCTCCCTGTCTTTCGTCGCGATACGTACGACTCGTTTCCAAGTGAAAACGATCTGTTTTCGGACAGTCGAGAGTTCAATAGGACTCTCACGGAGGAGAGCGAGCGTAATGAATGTCCTCCCTCTCTCCCTCCCGCCCCGCTCGCTCGCCGCATCGCCCTCCCCCCTCCACCCGCCCTCCACCAGCGATCCATCGCCGCCGTGGCGCTCCGCGCGTTTCGCACTCCTGCCAACTGCAGCGCGTCGAAACTCGCCGGCGTGGCCGCGTCGACGGTTTTGCCCGTTCCTTCTCTCGCGTCTCTCGTCTCGTCGTAATCGTGCGCTCGGCGAATCGGGCCGTCTCCGTCGCGCGAGCGCCGCCACCGTTCGCCCTCTCGCTCGCACGTGCCCGAAGTCGACCGAAGCGACGCCGAGTCTCGCGCGTGTATTGAGTGGCGGCAACGCAGACGGGCGCGGCCGCCGGAGCCCCATCCGTTCGGTGCGGTCGACGGCAGCGCCGCCCGTCGGCGACTACCTTCAGTTTCGGGCAAGATGGGCGCACCTCGCCGGGCAGTAGCTTAGTCTCTACCTACAAGACAACACACACATTAAATGTTTCCTATAGTAACAATTAACCAATTGTACATTAATCTTATTTAAGGGAAACACACGGAGGAGAGGAGAGAGAGAGAGACAGAAAGACACTCCACCCTCTCCGTACTACACGTATCTACACGCAAGCTCTATTTTTGTAATAACGCGCCGTAAATTAAAAAAGTAGTGTGTGCTCACGCCGTGCGAGGCAACGCGGTGAAGTTCGTTAAGAATCGTACGACCGTTGGAGAGATAGGAGGAAAAGCGCCGTTCTCTGGTGGAAAAAGTAGCGCGCGCGCGAGAGAGAGAGATAGCGAGAAGTGGTGCGCGGGAAAACGAGACGACGAAGGAAGAAGAAGAAGTGAGAACGAGGAAGCGGCACAGCGGAGTATCGAGGGAAAAAGGAGCGGCCGCAACGTGCGGGTGTGTGTGTGTGTGTGTGTGCGTGCGTGCGTGCGTGCGTGCGTGCGTATGTATGTGTGCGGTGCGTGAAGCAACGGCTAGTTGAACCGACGACGGTTGATCGTCGGACGAAGGCGAAGGCAACGTCGACGTCGGCGCCAAGAGTGAGCGTGGCGCGAGAGGACGCCCCGCCGCTGCTTCCGTTCTCCGCGGGAACGGGCCGACTGGGAGAGAGAAATTGGAAGAATCGTCCCGGCGACCTACGGGCGGTTAACGTGCCGACGCGACGCCGCCTCCGACGCTCGGCGACAGTGGCGGCCGGGCAGCGGCGGCATCGCGCCTGAAACGAGTAAGCGGCCCCGTTTCTACACCTCGCGGTGCAAGTCGGTCGGTTTTCACGACGGTCGGTCGTACGCGGCGCGCCGTTAGTCTCTCCGTTTCGCGGCGCGGTGCGGCGCAGCGCGACGCAGCAGCGTGCGCTCTTTTTCTCTCTTTCTCCCTCTCTTTTTTTTTTTTTTAATCTCCGCGTTTCCTTCTACACGAGGAGAACCCTCGTCGGGGGTGTGCGGTAAGTGTGTACGCTGGTGGTGCATGCGTGGCGTGCATGGCATGCGTGCACTCCGTCCGGTTTGATCGTTCATTACTACGTGTAGTGTAGAGTAACGAGAGAGAGGAGAATTTTCAACGACGCGGCATCGTCGTCGACGAGTGCAGAGGGAGAGAAAAAGGTGCGCAATATCGGCGAGAGAGAGAGAGAGAGTGTTACAGCACGACCGACCGACTGACCGGCCGCCGCCGGTGCGTGTCGTGCGGTAATTAAAAGCGACACACGAGTGTGGTGAAAAGTGCGCTCCACACGATCACGACACACCCTCTTGACATCCGTCGCTCGCATCGCCATCGGCTCGGCAGCGGCCTCTCTTTCTCTTATCCCCTCCCCCTCCCCCCTCCTGCTCCTCGCGATCTCTCTCGTTGTGCTGTCTCGCTTCCTCCTCCGTACACTTACAGAATCGCCAACGTCGCTCTTTCTCTCTCTCTCTCTCTTTCTTTCTATCCTTCCCCTCTCCCGCATTCCTCCTCGTCCCTAACCGTGCACACGTTCGTTCTCCCTCTTTTATCTCTCTCTATCCGACGACGGTGTAAAGTGATTTATCATTACGTCGGATTTCGTGACGAGGACAGTGACTACGACGACGACGACTGGGTCGTTAAAGCTAGAGGTACGGTACGGTACGATCAGTCCCTACCCTCTCCAGCCCCTCCTACGCCGCCATTAGGCCATCCCTCGTCGCTGCACGCCGAGCGAGCAGCAGCAGCAGCGTCTCGCCCGGTATTCTTGCACTACGTCGCCGGCCTCGCACACGTATTCCCCCCCTCCCCCCGTTTTCTTTCTCTTACTTTCCGCTTTACTTCGGTTTCGCCACCGGCGGCGCGGCCGATCGAGAGAGTGCACGAATTCCGCGTTTTGGTGTTATCTATCTGTCTGTCTGTCTGTCTGGTGGTGCGTGTCGTGTGGTGCCGAGTGCGCTACGGTGTGTGTGTGTGTGTATATATATATATAATGTGTGTGAGTGATTTTTTTTTTTTTCTGCTCAGTTGTCCCATCAGTGCCGGCGGTGAGCGAGGAAACTCGTCGCGCGGTGTTGCAGTGCGGCAAGAAGTAACGACGTCGTCGGCCGCGGAACGGACGAGGACGTGCTGCGAAGGAACGGCGAGAACGAGGAAACGCCGACGAACCAGTGGAGGAGGAGGCGGCGACGGAGGAGGAAGAGGTGGAGGAAGCGACGGCTGTGCGGGAGGTAAAAAAGGAGGTGGTGGAGGAGGGAGGAGGAGGTGAAGGAACCAGAGTGGCGGCGCGAAAGCGACCGGCGGCGACGGCTGACGGTGGTTTTTAGGCTGCGCAGCGTCGCGCCGGCGTATTTTGTTATTGTTATTCTCTCATCGACGGCTGTGGTGGCTCGGTATCGTCCACCGACGACGACGTGACGGATTCCTCTACTCGCTACAGTAACAGCCGCATCGCAACCATGTCTGTGAGAATGGAAAACGTGGCCGCGCGGAAGATCAATTATAAAATGATGGTAAGTACACGATTGCTGCGACACACACATATACACGCATAAGCTCGTCTCTCTCTCTCTTTCTCATACCCTCTCAGCCGATCGACGGCGACGGCGGGTGCGCAGTGCGCGTGCAACTCGCCGCTTACTTCGCGCAGCTCCATCGTGCGCGCGAGCGCGTGCTAACGTGGCGTGCGACGACGACGAGCTCGCGATGTTCACGCTTTGTATCCCTCGCCATCCTTCCTTCTCGTCGTCGTCGTCGCGTCGTATTCCACGGTTGTTGCGTCAACGGCCTGTGTCTATCGTGGCATCTCTCCACGCCGACCTCTTTTCGCCGAAAGAACCTTCTCCCATACCGAAAAGGACTTGTTTCTTTGTAGAGAATGTGTCATCGTATTTCTGGGAAAATGATACCTGCTTTACGCACGTTTACCCACTGGACCTCTGACCTCCAAGGAGCGCGATACCACGACTTATTGTCCAGTTACCTTGGCATTTGTTTTCATTTCTGCTTCTCGTCTATAGAATATATATATATATATTTATTTTTTTTTTTACATCGAAGGTTTCTCGTACACAAGGTGGCAGAATCGAATCCGGGCTTGACAGACAGCTCTATTCCCAAATAAATTTGGAATGCAGAAGCGTGGTACATATTATAGGCAAAGGAGCGCCTAACCTAACCTCTAGCTCCCCTCCCCCCATCTCTTATCTCTTCCTATGCTTTCTCAAAGTCGCGTTTCTGCAGGCGGGGGCTCGCTCGTGTGTCTCCACCGAAGTATCGGGGAAACGTTCGCTCGCGCGCGCGCGTAGTCGCGGAAAAGCCATGGTGAGTTTTAATCATGGGGGCGGCCGACGAGGACGGAGGGACGGCTTGCGGAACCGCCGCTGTAGTTTGACAGTTTGCCGCGGGGCGTCTGGCTGCTGCCCCACCCAGTCGTCTCTTTCTCTCTCTCTCTCTCTCTCCCCCGCCAGGACGTTCGTTCGTCTGTCCGTCCATCCGTGCCTCTTTCGACCGTCTCACTATGTCTGCCGGTAACCCTCCCTTCCCCCCCGTTGCTCCATGCTATCCGCTTTGCGTTTTCTCTTTTTCTCTCCGCCGCGCTCCTCTTTCGCTCTCGCGAACACTCGATCCGTCCCGAGTTCCTTTCGGCCACATACATTTCCCTTTTTTCTCGTAATCCTGCGAGTAAGAGCGATTCTGCATACTCGACAGACACCGATATATTCAGTTAAATATCTTTTTTTTGGAATACTTTATGCGTATCTCCCACGATCAGTTTAATACTATTCAGAGTTTACGGTAAATCTGTTTCTCAAGATTCAAGATAAACGAGTCTAGTATTTGTTTGTGTCGTGTTATATCGACCAAGATTGCGCTCGAGTCCATTAAGCTCCACCGAAATCAAGGTTTTGTATCTTTATCTGCTCTAAAAAAGTTAATCGAACATTCTTCTCTCGGACAAAAGATATTCTATTTTTGTTCCATTTCCTAAGTAACGATACAAAGAGTACTTTTAAGTTCTACCAAGCACGTTGTTATCAAAAATATGCTGCCGATATAAATTGTGGAATGTTGAACGTTCTACATAAGCAAAAGCATTGACCTTTAAATCGAAACATTTCTTATGAAGCAATAGATACAATAATAACCGTATGTTGCATATTTGTATATCAATGCACATTTCTGCAGAGAATATATAGTGTTAAAATGACACGTGGAATAAATGAATGTTTAACTTTATAAGCTGTATATTAATTGAAGTTATTTTTACGTTATACGCTTTAGGAAAAATGCGTTTGAAAACCTGAAGGAGTTTAAAGAAATTTTAAAGATATTTCTAGCTGAAAAAGTCGCCGTCAGCTATTTAAGAAACTATTGTTTATTTATTCTTAAATAAAATTTTTTTAAATTTATTTCAGTAGGACTCGAAATATTTCAAGACTTCCAGTTTGAAATGGCTAAATCTTTGGATTCTATTGGAAAAAGAAATACAATGTAATCTCTCACTGTTAAACTATTCATCAATCTATTCACCTTCGCACACATTTTGATGCAATGATTCAAAGCCTAGTATAAGTTTAGCTGAATACACTTCTTGTCTTATGTTTTATGAATAAAAGTGGGAGATCGACGAAGTCGTGGAATTAGCAAGGTGAGGCGTTATGGTATTTTAAAAATGCGACGACGGGTATAACATTCATGGCAAGGTAATTTCGCGAAGTGAGCGTTAGAACGAACTCGTTGAGAACAGAGCGAGGGGAAAGGGGACAGTCGGGGTCGAAAAAGATGTCTAGAAAGGCATGCGTCTCGCTAGACGAGAGTAGGAATTCGGCGGCGACGAATAGTACGGTGTTGCAAGTTGCAACGGCGTTCTCTCGGTTGTACAAGTTGCTAATTTTAGTTCGGAACCCGAGACGCCAAATGCTAGAAATTCAATGGACAGCCCCACTGTCCCTTGCGGGGTCAGTAATTAATCCTTTAAAAACTCAGAAGTCGATCCCAAAAATTCGGGTGAAGTTGAGAGACTTTACCATTTTGGCCTGAAAAAGGCCTAGCATTCTTTTGTTCTTGAAAGAGAATCTTTAGAAACGTAGAGGATGGATTCCTCGAGTAATTCAAAATTTTCAACTCCGCTTAACCACCAGATTCTATCGAAGAAAGAAACACATAACCTTATCGTTAAACTATTTATCAACAATCCTTACTTTTGCCAAGATTTTTACATTTTGATGATATTTAAAAATGTGTTATTATCCGCCATAACAATAGAATATCGTGTGGTGGCACGCGAGGTTTACCCTCGTTTAACGCAACTATCGTCGTCGTCGAGGAGAGGTTATCGGGCGCGATGAACGGGTTCAAGCTACTTCGCCGTGATCGTCGGGAGGAGTCATTGAACAAACAGCTGTTCATCTCTCGCGACGAGCACTGTCTCGATTTAGATTTCTTTTATGCGCGCGGTTTCTGCGGTGCGATAATTGGGCGTTTCTTATACCGGGTGATCTGACGTTGCCGTCGTGCTTTTGAAGCGCTTTGCCTACTAAACATTTCGATTTGATTTTGCTAATCTGATTCTGTTTAATGAAGGTGTACACGAGGTCTTATAGTTTTAAAATACTGACAACTACACTCAGAAAAAGCAATAGTAGCAGCAGCAATTATAAAGATGATAATTGGGCAGATTTTATGTAAAATTAACGTAAATAGTCGAATAAACGATTTTATAATTATTGCAGCTGTATAATAGTTTACTCAACTATGTGTATTAATTCTACATATAAAATGTTATTACCTTCATAGTTGCTGCTAACTACTACGTTTTTTTTCTGAATGTAGATAAGTTTTGCATGTTATCTAAAATCAGTCCGTAATGTATGTAATAAATAAAGTAAGCGTATGTAATAAAAAAAAAAGGTTCACAATCGATACATTGATGCGAGAAGTATCACAATTTATACGATGCAATACGAGACGGTAATAATAATGTAATGCAAATAGTAATTTAACGCGCGCTACAAAAGTAATCCTATAATCAGGTAATATATGCGTTTAGAAGTTAATCGCGAAACTGCGATGATCATGAAATAATTTTCCGTGAGAAATGCGAAAAACGCGCGTCGAGTAATTAAATCTTTTCGCACCTCGTTCGCTTCATAATTGGCTAGATCACGCATTAATTGCCGCGAGATAATATGCAATTAATGAGCATCGCATCACGATATCGGACATGCACCTTGCATTTTGCAACGCGTACGCACACATGTATGTGTAAACGTGCGAATGCAAAGGGCTTCGTGATACAAGATCTATTGTATCTTCTTAATCCGACGATTCCGAGAATAATTCAATTCTGCGTAATGGTAGAAATATTATTGGCGTAAATAAGTGCTGAGTTCTACGTTGTTATAAACAAGAACAGAGGGATTCTGTTTTAAAATATTTTAAAACAGACAGCATTAGTGAGACAAAACGATATCGGAACTTAAGTTTTGTCTATGGGTTTGATAAGTGGACTATATATATATATATATATATATATAAAT